GCATAGCTATTAAACATTTTTTCATTTCTGTAGATTTGTTTGCAGTACTGCAATTATACTAGTTCCAGGACACAAGACTCAAAGGTGAGTTCTGTGGAGCTCAAAAGCTAGTCTCCTTCACCAACAGACAGTGCAATCAAAGATATTACCATATCGATCTTGTCTCCCTATTTTTACTGCAATAACAGTCCTGTAATGTATAATTTTAACAGATTGTCCTCTCAGTGCTCTTCTCGCTAAATCACATTTTAATCAGTCAGCATGTTCTCTTTTCGGAGAGTGGTAGATTATGCAATTCAAGGAAAGAGGCTATTAACTATTAAGTTAATTAACTATTAATATAATAAATAGCCTCATTTCTTAAGTAAAATTAGCTACTAAAAGAGATAATCTGTATGTACCAGCAAACTTATACTATAGGTTGAACCTCGCTAGTCCTGCACCCTCAGGACCTAACTGGTTCCGAATTACAGAATTTTCCACACCACGGGAGGCCAATATTGTCTAGCAACATTACCAACATTTCCACTGCTTACTGGGCTACTAGAGGACATTTAGGGGTAAATTAGAGCTAAATAATAGCACAGAACACTAAGAGCTAGGACTAGTGGCTGTAAACAAGCTTGATGGGACCGTGGGAAAGTTGGCCACCTCCATGAAAAGTAGACATCCAGCTAACTAAAATCATTCTAGACAGATGATTCTGGACCAGTGAGTTCTGGACTAGATAGGTTCAACTTGTATTATGCTAGTTTGCATACTAAATATAACATGTTGTGTAATACTTCCAAACACACAACTGATTTAAATATTGTGAAATAGTACCACAGGGTTACTCAACTTTGGAAGCCCTAGGGGCCACAATGACACTCACAGCACATGCCGAGGGCTGCAACTTAAGTGAGGTTGCATATACATGCAAATATATAGCAAATAGCTTCTTTCACACTGACGGGCATGAATACAAAATTTAAAGCAAAATTACACAACACGCAGGCTCCATTTAAGCCAGTTTTGCTGATATTAATAAAACGCAATATTTACCTGATTTCCACCCACATGACAGCACATTTAATAAGCAACGACAGTCCAGGAATTTAATAATTAACACACATATCAACAGAAGACCATTATCATAACTACTTTTTTGTTTTGGCTCCCTCCTGTGGGCTGCATGTAGCCCACGGGCCACATGTTGAGTAGCCCTGTAGTACAGGATCATGTACTACAGGATAATTATAATACATTATATTAGGAGGGGAAACACAAAAGACCTTGTGTAGAACTTGATAGGGGTGTAAGTATAGTCTGAAAGTGCCAGTTTTCCATACAACCTTAACAGTCTCAATTTTTGTGTAATATAATTATTAGAAAGAATATACTTCCACAGATGTGCATGATGTTTTAGACTGTCCCTCTTCTAAAAACTTAGAATTTACATAAACGCTAAAGCTTTTATAAAAGCAAGTAACATCAGTCAAAGAACTGCACCAGGCATGTGTGGTACCAGTACAATAGAGCCTCAGAGTTATGAGCAGCTTGGGAATGGAGCTTAATTTTAACTCTGAAGTGTTTGCAACTCCAAAACATTGTGGCTGTTGTTTTAACATTGAATACACGGGTAGCAGGTTCATGAAGCAGGGGAAGGCACTTCCTTCCCAAACTGCCAGCCTGGCCCCACCCATACTCTGCCCCCAGAATGCTGCCCCCGAACGTCCTTTCTCCTTGTGCTCCTGGACCGGGGAGGCTGGGGTTGTATGCTACCTGCCCTCCTCATGTTCCCTGTAATGTGAGGGGTGGGGTCTAGGCAGAAGGGGCTGCACTAGGGGCAAGGTTAGAGGCTTGCCTCTCTCAGCCCTACCTTCACCCCCAGCCCATGATTGACTTAATACAGATATGAAACATCGCTATGCACAAGGCTCGACGATCGCAAGACCCGCACTGCGCATGCGCCAGACCCGCACTGCGCATGCGCAAGACCCGCACTGCGCATGCGCCAGACCCGCACTGCGCATGCGCAAGACCCGCACTGCGCATGCGCAAGACCGCCAGTGAACAGGAAAACCGGCTGAAATCTACTCGCCATGGGCAAGGAGATAAGCGTATTTGTCGTGCCCTGGCTATGCAAAAGAAAAATGCTGCTTTCCTTTTTAAAAAATAGTTTATCTTTAACACAGTACTGTAATGAATTTGCTTTTCTAAAAATCTCTGCTGCTGCCTAATTGCATACTTCTTGTTCCAAATGAGGTGTGTGGTTGACACTCTAATGTTCATAACTCTGAGGTTCTACTATACTGATTACGGATTAGAAATACTGATTAGTTATATTTGTAGAATGCCTGGCTCAGGGGACCCTGTTTTTGATTGGGGACACTGCACTGCAGTGGAATCTAAAAATATCAAGAATATTAAAACATGATATGCAGAAGCTAGTGATGAGCCACAGGTTCATTGATCGAAATCTCACCTCTGTTCAGAGTAACTCTGGAAAGACCGAAGTCTGTCAATTTAATATGACCCTGATTAGATATTAGCATGTTGTCTGGTTTCAGGTCCCTGCAGATATAAAGATAGTGAAATAAGATTGAAGAATAGACAATTTAGCATAAGAAAGAACGGAAGAAAAAGCATTATGTAGAAATATTTCTCCAACAACAGCAGAGGCATTTATAACTCTCCATGATCGATATTAGGGCCTCTTTCCTATTAGAAAACCTTTTTTAAAGTTCAGATTCTAGAGATATGTCAGAAATTAAATGTGGCTAGCATTAAAGTGCAAAGAACACCATGTAGCCTGAAATATATGCCAGAAGATTGCTGTGTCTCAATTTTAATCTCTTTGGCAGCATCTCAAACTGTGCCACGGAGGACTACCAAATTATTAGTACTTACTAATATTTGACATTAAGCATTACTAGCTATTGGCTATTTCAAAATGCATTCCTTGAATAAACTGAAGAGACTATTTCAACCTCTTACTCCAACATCATCACAGGGAAAAAAGTGGACTCCCTCCCTTTCTCCCAAATCCTCCCACTGACTTGGAGCATTCATGGGGACTGGAGACAGGCAGAGTAGCTCAGATCCTTCTTTTATTCCCTTGGAGAGATGAATAAAAAAAGACTGAAAGTTCCTTCTCCCTTCAAAAACTAGGAAAGGGACAGAAATTCACCAATATACATTCAGGGACTGATGATGTGAGAGCCTGATTCCACAAGAATTACATGGCGAGTAGACTGCATTATTTGTCAAGCCCTGCTCATACCATAAAATGAGCTTTAACAGACATTTAACAATGTATTGGTTTGCAACCATAAAACTACATATTAGATTTTTACCTGTGGATTATCCCATGCCTGTGAAGGTAATCAAGAGCCAATGCTGCTTCAGAAATATACTTCACTGCCATTTCTTCATCAAAATAGCCATATATGTGGAGAAGAGATTTGACATCTCCACCAATAAGATATTCCATCACCTGCCATTGAAAAAGACTTAATTTTTAAAATGAAATGCTATTTTTAGATGTGATATTTAAGATTACACAATTATTACCTACCCCTTTTTCTTTTCAATAGAGGATTATTTCACATGGGTAAAAGTAGCTAAAAAGCATTTTTCTTGTAGCTAAACTTATTTCCCAGACAAGTCATTGAAGCTATGCTGAATTATATTGTTTTCTGTTTAGAAGAAATACCCCAAATGACACAGCCATCAAAATATTTATCTGATGCACAGAGAAGCTTTATTTGCTTCTTTTTGTAAACTCATCAGCTTTTCAATAAGTTTGGTTGATAAATAATATTTCCCATCACAGGAAATATAATTTCATTAAGCAAAATCAGTGTCAGTCCAGATTAATCACCCAAGTCTCACAAAATATGTCTTATCAAAAATAAAATACATTAATGATTGATTTTTGTAAGTATAGCTATATGATACAAAATCCAGGGCCAGATTTTTCAGAGATAAGTAATTCCCAAAATTATGTATGTGACTAGAGTAATTGTGCATTCAAGAGACTGGAGAGACTAATTATGAACATGCTTAAAACCCCAAATGTAAAAATTGAGCTCTGTTTTTCCTTGACATAATTGGGGCAATAACAAATGGTCTATCATCCCTGCATTAAACTTATTTTAAAAGGTTAACTTTTTAAATTGTAATTTATTTGGGCTGGCCAGATCAATATTAATGCTATTTCAGTTTCTAAAGACCAATACATCTTGATTAAATGTAATGCAAAATTATATGCTATATTCCAGATATTAAGAGAATAGCACATTTCACAAAAGCAAGATTTCACAAATCTACTCGCCAAAAGTAAGTAGGAAGCTTTTTGCATCAACAAAGTGTCTTCCTCATCACTTCTGGCAGAATCTAGGCCTATATTTAGGGCTCATTTTTACCATCATAGGATTTTAAAAATAGTAAATTTCATTATTTTGGATATTTAAATCTGAAATGTCATGGTCTTGTAATTGTAGGAGTGCTGACCCAAAAAGGAGTTGTGGGATAATGGTGTTACAAAATTAACAAGGTTATTTTAGAGGGGTTGAGGCTTGTGGTGCTGCTACCCTTACTTCTGTGCTGCTGATGGTGGAAGTGCTGCTTTTAGAGCACTGGGCAGCTGGAAAGCAGTAGATGCTGGCCATGAGCCCAGCTGTGAAGGCAGAGCCACCACGAGCAGTAGCACAGAAGTAAGGATGACATAGTATGGTATATTAACCTCCTTATTTCTGCCCTGCTATCAGAAGCCTTCACTCTCCAGCTGCCCAGCTCTGAAGGGCATGGTGTAGTCTTGCCAACCTTTCTTCTGTGCTGCTGCTAGCAAAGCACTGCCTTCAGAGCTGGGCGCCTGGCCTGCAGCTGCTTGTCTCCAGCCACCTACTTCTGAATGCAGCACAGAAGTAAAGCTAGCAATACCATGATTCTCCTGCAACTCCCTTTTTGGTCAGGACTCCCAATTTGAGAAATGCTAGTCTTCTGCATAAAAGCTGTATAATATATGGTAAAAAGCATATGGAAGACCAGACTTCACGATCTGTGATGTGTTTTTCATGGCCATCAATTTGGTAGGGTCCTCCTGACATGCCTGTCAAAATATAAGAAGCCTGTGCTAATCCTAATTTTACCCTTTAATCATCCCATTCCTACCTACCTCAATTATCTCTGCACTTTAAGTACAAGCACCAAGGCTGTGTCTACACTGGGACACTTATTGCGGAAAATCAGCCGCTTTTCTGGAATAAGCTGCGAGCTGTCTACACTGGCCCTTGAATTTCCGGAAAAGCAACGATGCTCTACTGTACAAAATCAGCCGTTATTCCGGAAAAACTATTCTGCTCCCGCTCGGGCATAAGTCCTTATTCTGGAACACTGTTCCGGAAAAGGGCCAGTGTAGACAGCCCAGCAGTCTTTTCCGGAAAAAAGCACCGATCGCGAAAATGACGCTCGGGGCTCTTTTCCGGAAAAGCGCGTCTACATTGGCCATGGATGCTTTTCCGGAAAATGGGCTTTTCCGGAAAAGCAGCCTGCCAATGTAGACGCTCCTTTTCCAGAAATACTTATAACGAAAACTATCCTGTTTTAAGCATTTCCGGAAATTCATGCCAGTGTAGAGACAGCCCAAGAGTATATATTTTAATGTTCGTGATCTACACAGTCACTCTGATCCCACAATCTTAAATATATGGCTCATTTTTATTTTTGACCCAGAATTGAGCTAGACATTCTTGACCAAAGTTAGCTACCTGGAAGGATTCTGCTGTTAGAAAGGAGAGGCTAAAAGGAGTCAGGGAGACAGAAGATATTAATCCCACATAACTACTCTAATTGAGACCTCACATTGGATGAGAAATTAAATGAAATTACCCAAATACCCAATCCTTGTTATTGCATGATCATATTTTCATACATTACAATTCTTCTAACGAACGTCATTCTCCACTGTGTTTTCAAAGTCCTCTTAAAGCATTGCAAATCATTTACTCACCAAGTAGACATTGTTCGCTGACTGAAGTGAGTAGTATAAATGTACAATGAAAGGACTTTTGCTGAGAGCCAATGCGTCTCTCTCTGCCTGGACCTGGTGAACCATGTTTTTATTTATAAGGTCAGCTTTTTTGACCACCTGCAAAACAATTAATGAAGAAATAAATTCACAGTAATAATACAAGTGTTGAGAAGGACAGTCAGTTTCCTAGATACTTTCCTTCAGTCAAGTCACTCAGTTCCCTGTCTCAATGACATTTTTACTTTCTGCTCTTGTATTGTGGGGCTATGGTTTAGGATGGGAGGCAGGTGGGAGTCCATACATGCATGAAGCCAACTTTCCTCTTGAAAGCTAGCTTTATGCGTGTACATCAGCTCACGTGGAGCTGCCTGCCCTCCCCCCATGCTGCTGCCTCTCTGGGGGGTAGGGGCAGGTGGGAGCCGATATGTGTGGGGAGCATGTGCCCATCCATGAGGGTTAACCAATGAGCCCAGACTCATCAGGTGGCCATGTACTTGAGTACATACTCAGATCCCTAGTGCAGACATAGCCATGGCTCGTCGAACCATGGCGAGCCCTGCTTGCCAGCTGCACTGTCCGGCGATCGCCAGAACCCGGCTCTTCCGGGTTACAATCTACTTGCCACGGGCGAGTAGATTGTATTATTTGTCGAGCCCTGGAAATAGCCATATTAAGTCAATATAGTGGGCAACTTACATCAGTGGGAGACTCTTATAGAATTAGGTACACAAAAACTGCCCTTAACTTCTAACTCTAGTGCAGATCAGTCTTGGGCCACACAGATGAAAGGCGGGCAGGCAGAGACAATCAAAATACCAGACACAGCCTGCGTTGAGAATATTGCAGGGCACAACAGGGAGTAGCAAGGCCAGATAATGTACAGCTGCAATAGGGATGTAAATCACTGGTTGAGTTGAGAGGCCAAACACACAGCATGAAGAAGCTGGGCCCAACTGATTTCTGGGGCCAGGTGTTCTGCTTCAGGCCCTCCAGATTAAGACACACATTGCAAGGCTGATTTACTCCTCCTTCCCCGGCCCCCTCCAGCTCTGCCCAGCTTTTCCTAGCAAGAAGGGGGAAGAGCCTCCATAAACCTGCCTTGCCTAAGGCTAATTTAGGCTAGAGCTGCCAATGGTCTAATCCAGTGTTTCTTAAACTATGTTCCACGGAATACTGGTGTTCTGTGAACAACTCACAAGTGTGCTGCAACCATTTGGAAAAATAATTCAAAGTTTTACAATAAATAACCATGTTATGATAATAGTAATGGAAAATACTGAAACAATTTTATTTCTACAGCTCAGCAAGGTTGGCTAACATTATGTCCCCTCTCGTCTCTAATCTTCTTCTCCTATCTATACAGCAGCATAGAAAACAACAATGAAGTGCCACACTTATTTTTTGAAGAACATTTTCATAGGTGTTCCACATAAAAAATATTCTAGTTTGGTGTTCCATGGTCTCAAAAAGTTTAAGAAACACTGGTCTGATCTCATAGAGATCAAGGACCCTTGCCCTGCCTCTTTCCCACCCCTTCTTCGAGGCTCAGCACCCCACTCACTCCATGCCCCCTCTCTGTGATGCTCACTCTCCCTCTCCTTCGCTCATTTTCATCAAGATGGAGCAGGGAGTTGGGATGGAGGAGTGGGTGTGTGCTCTGGGCTGGGAGATGCGGGTGTTGGAGGGGCTATAGACTCTAGGAAGGAGTTGGGTGGGGGCTTGGGCTGGGGTATGCAAGGAGATAAGGGGGCAGCACTTACCTTAGGCAGCTCCCAATAGCAACCAGCATATCCTTCTGGCAGCTGCTCATGGGGTGGGGTGGGGCAGGGAGTTGGGATGGAGGAGTGGGTGTGTGCTCTGGGCTGGGAGATGCGGGTGTTGGAGGGGCTATAGACTCTAGGAAGGAGTTGGGTGGGGGCTTGGGCTGGGGTATGCAAGGAGATAAGGGGGCAGCACTTACCTTAGGCAGCTCCCAATAGCAACCAGCATATCCTTCTGGCAGCTGCTCATGGGGTGGGGTGGGCAGCTATCTGCAAGCCACTGTCCCCCCCCCCCCCCCCCCCCCG